GCACTTATCCTTTTAAAAGACCCATGTTGAAATAATATCATTTTTAAAAGATTCACCTTTTGCAAATCCCATTCTTCTTTTAAAACATAACTGTTTACAAATATAATTTTTCAAGATTTGGCTATTTTGCCTCTAAGGTTTGTTTTATTTTTAAAGACACTAGCAACAGCAAAATACAATGCTTGATCTCCAGCTCTGCAATTTTCTTGCAGCTTCTATATCGAATACTTTTATCTCTGAAGTTCTCTCTGACATTTGTTCTACATCACGTTTACATAGTCTGTCCTGTAAAATGAGGCGGCTCTATGTGATCAGTCCTAATGAAATGCTTTCTTTTCCTTTTCTGCAATTCCAGAAGCATGACATTTTGAGAGAAGCAGAAAAGCTGCTACTTCTTTAAAAGAATTTTTTCATCAAAACCCCTTTGATGATATTGTAGTTACTGCCCTTGGGAATTAACCCACCACGAGAAGACTATAAGCAAACCAATGGACAGCACCAACTATGGTTACTTACTTAGAGCAGACTATGAAAGTAAGCCTTTCTTTCAAGACATATTTGGAGGGTGAAACATACCAACATTTTTTCTGCTAACTTGGAAACAAAGATCAAGTTAGCTAAATTTGGGAGAGCTCAAAGAATGTGGCATGCTTCTTAGTATTAAAATAACCAGATGAAGGCCTTCAATGAATTGCATAGGTCGGCTATAAAACATTTATGGAAGAAGTGAAGAATTGCTCAGAATAAGAAGTCATGGATGGGTTGCAATCTGAGATCCATGCCATGGGTGTAGGAATTAGCCAACTGAGGCTATCTATCACAAACTCACCAAAGCACCATAAGAAAGAATACAAGAAAAAATTTTAAAGTACAAGAGTACAAAAAAACAAACAAACAAAACCTCTAGAGTCCCTCTTAGTCTTTTAATCTACAATCATATGCCTCCTAGGTCTTCAAAACAGGATAAACACTCTTTGGAAAAATACATGAATTTCTGATATGGCCCAGTATATTCTCAGCTATCTGATACTGGACAAGTCAGGGAGGTAATATAGCATAATTCAGTGGCTCTCAAACTTTTTGGTCTTGGGACCCCTTTATGATTTTAAAAATTATTGAGGATCTCCTCCCCAAGAGCTGTTGCTTATATGGGTTACAGTATCTATATTTGCCATATCAGACATTAAAATATCTTAGTATTATTATGGAAATAGTTTTGACCTTGAAGATATGCCCCCCTACAAAGGGTCTCAGGGATCACCAGGGGTCCTGAGATCACACTATAAAAACCAGTAGTATAGTGGATAGAGCTGTGGAATTAGAGTCAGGAAGACACAGGCTTACAGGCCTCTGTTTTCTCATCAGTGAAACGAGGGGACTGGACTATATTGTCTCTAAGGTCCTTCTAAATCTATTATCTCATTAAGTCACTTCCCTTCTCTAGACCTCAAATTTCTCACCCATAAAATGAGAGGGTTAGACTATATCATCTTGTAAAGTCCTTGCATCTCTTAAGAGTCTATTATTTAGAGCAGCTAGGTGGTGCAGTGGATAGAGCACCAGCCCTGGAGTGAGGAGAACCTGAGTTCAAATTTGGCCTCAGACACATAACACTTACTAGCTGTGTGACTCTGGGCAAGTCACTTAACCCCAATTGCCTCACACAAAAAAAAAGAGTATTATTTAAAGGTTCTCTAATACAGTGGTCTGCAAAGTGGGAACCAGGGACCAGGGATTGATCCCTAGGATACATGAACAACCAATCATCAGTTGGAAAAGATTAATTACATCTCACCCTCCCACCAGAGCCAGTCATGGGTCTTGCTTCCAACGCAACCATCCCTTATCTTTCAATACTCCCCCACTCTTCTCCTTCCCTTGCCAGCTAATCTTCCCAGGTCTGAGTTGGTATCCCATCAGAGCAGTTATAACCCAAGCACACCCTGGCACCTACAGCCACAGCTTGCATAGGTGCCTTTGGGAACCACCGCAGCATGTCATCTTTCCTCTCTAAACTCCCATATCACCCTGTGGCTATAGGAGGTCCAATAGGAGGGTGGGCTCTGTACTCTCCCATAAGAACCCTCCCCTCCCTCCATACACACATTTTTCACTTTAGATGGAGCAGCATAAATCACAAAAGAGGAGCAGGCATGGATGGGCTGTGATCTACAATAAAGATCTCATTACCTTATTCTTCCCCCCCCCCAGTCCATCCCTCTCCAAATTTCCCTGTTTCTGTCAAGAGCACCACCCTCCTTCCAGTTTCCCAGGTTTACAAAACCTCAGTGTCACCTTTGATTCAGCACCTTCCCTCACACCTCATGTAAGTCATTTGCCAAATCTTTTCAGTTCTACTACCCCAACATCTTCACATATTACCTTCTCTCTACTTACACAGCTCCCACTCTCATTCAGGCCTTCATAACATTTTTAGTGGACTACTGCAACAGCTTCCTAGTTATCCTCCCCTCGATCAAGTCTTTCCCCTCTCCAATCCATCTTCCACACAGTGATTTTCCTAAAGCATGGGTTTGACCACATTACTCCTGTATTTAAATAACTCCAGTAGCTCCTTATTGAAAATAGGATCAAATATTATTTCATCTTTATCAACTTTTTTTATTTCTATTTTTCTCTAAGTTTTATAATGTACATAACATTAAGACAGCAATACATGTATAATCAGTAAATATACACCTAGTGGGGGGGGTCCATGATAAAAAAAAAAGTTGGAGACTACTACTTTAATAATATACTATACTATAATACTCTAATAACTGAATTGGGTTTGGTGAGTTTTCTCAAGTCAATTTAGTTCAATAAAGAAGGTATCCACTACATACAAAGCACTGTGCTAAATCCTAGGGGAGATATGGTAATAAAAAATCCAAGAGCCTCACCTTCAAAGAACTCAGTTATGTCTAGCATATCTACTCCTCCTATGTCATTCTATGTCCCCTGCAGAACTCCTCCACATCTCAGGTCTCTCATCTGCAAAACCAACCCAATAATGTATCACCCAGCCTCACAGGGATATTACGTGAAATTATTCTGAGGTACTGGGAAAATCCAGCACTATGCCTATGGCACGGTAGTTTTTTTAATTTGAAGGAATTGAAGGAATATTCAAAACAATTTCAAATATTTAATTTTACCTAGAATTTTAATGGTTAAAAAATGTGAGAACTGTTTCTGCAGAGACCATTCAAGGTGCATTCCCTCACTCTGAAAACAACCACCATCACCCCTGCTTACTCCACCCTGAAAACAAACTGGCAACATGAGAACCTAGAAAAGATTCCTCCTGCCCCATTGTTACTCTTCCTGTACCTCAGCACAAATGGTAAATTTCTCAACCAAAGGGTTTAGAAATAGGAACTGGACCTGTGCTTTTACTGCTGGAGGAAATTCCTGAATAAGAAAATTATCTCTACTATTGAAAGTCAGCAACTATAGAGTTACCTAGGCTCTAGGTTCTAGAGCACTGGAACATTAGGTGACATCAGGGTCACATAGCCAACAGGTATCAGAGTCAAATGTTGAACCCAAAACTTCCCTGATTTGTAGTCTGACCTCTCTATCCATACTCAGCCAGAGTGCCTCTCTGGTTAACTAAAATCATGCTTATATTCTACTTCTGTATTTGTAAAGGGGGTGTGTGGGTGGGGAGGAGAGGCACAGATTTCCATATACCACTGAAGAAAAGTGCTCAAAAACTAACATGTTTAGAACATCAGCTTTCTTCTCTGAATCTTTCTTCAAAAAGTTTGATTAGCTTACTGAAGACTTGAGTCTGGGCTGCCTAAAACCAAAGTTGAAAAATTAGAAACTTTCAGTTTAATTAGTTTTCATCTCCTTTTAATCCCATCACAAGTATTCATTGTTTGGTACTGAGAATTCAGCTAAGAAATTTGCCTATTCGACTCAGATAATCAGCCTTTGTTCTTTGGCATGGACGTTCACAATCATAGTGGAAAAATTCTGGACAGTAAAATTAATCAGCTATAATTGTAAGACACAAGAGGGATAAAGCGCAAAAACCGTTTTCCAGTAACTTCCTGGAACCATAGATAATAGTATTCCTAGAAAGGTACAAAATAAAACTATTAAAAACTCTCACCCAGAATTTATGAGGGAATTCTCCCCCACCCCCTAATGCCACCTCCACCCAGGCAGTACAAGGAATTCTCTCACACCGAATACTTTTTAGATTATCTCAGTTTCTAAGAATGAGAAAAATGGCTTCAGTCTACACTGACAGAATACACATTTATCCTCAGGGAATTCACCAGGTGCCCCTTAATTAGACACAACAGATCAAACGTTAGCATGGCAAACTGTCACACACCACGACTGACCAGAAAGCAACCCACAAAGCGTTTTTTCACTTTTCCGGATGAACCAGGCTTTTTAGCTCTACAGAACCACCAGCGGTGGCTATGCACTTGCAGGGACACTGACGGCCAGCCACCAGCCATATTAAAAAGGAAACTAAACTTTCCCAGATTCGTTAGCTCATCTCTTCTAGCCACGTGAAATCCAACAGGTGCCTTCACGTGTCATCGGACGGAACTCTTCCTGTCAAGACGCTGAGAGAAGCTGCGAATCTTAATCAGTGACACCAACAATGTCCACTGAGCTCTATCAAGCGCTTGGAGGGAGAAAGCACCCCAAATCACAAGTTAAGAAGGGGCCCTATCACCACCCTCATTTTCAGTTCACCAGAGGGGGAAGTGATGAATTGCCCAGATTGAGTTTTTATATTTTTTATTTTTTCGAGGGTGGCCCTGGCAAATACCCCTGGCTCTTTACGACAGCATTACCCTAACCTTGGGCAGTTGAAGTTCGCCCTCCTAAGGAGTCCTACTGCCTGAACTCAGCTTCTGGGCCTCGCGCACTACCCCGGCGCCTTCAGCACCCCAAAAACAAGACGCGGGCTCGGGGCGGGAGGACACTGAGGAAAGGAGAAGAGCAGGGTTCTGGAGAGGTGAGCCTACCTGCTTGTCCAGGGCGTCCTTGCCAGCAGCGGCCCCAGACGCCGCCTTGGGCGGGGCGGGCGCCCGCTCGCAGCTGCAGCCCTCCAGCAGGTACATGCCGGCGGGCCGGCCGCTCTGCTCGCCCTCGAAGTAGAAGAGCACATTCTGGTAGAGGGCGAACCACTTCTCATGCCAGCGGCTCGCCTCGGCCGCCTTCTTGCTCAGGAAGCCGCGCTTCGTGCCCTCCTTGCGGGCCAGGAAGGCCAGGTACAGGGCGTGCCCCTCGTTGTAGCGCACGCTCTTCTGCATGGCGAGGGGGGTCCGGACCGGCCGGTGACTTGGGGGGCTCAAGTCCTCGGGGGGCCCCTAACTCGGGGCGCCCCCCGGCATCGCTGTGCAAGCTCCCACACACACACTCCACCCCCGAGGGGACGGCCCCGAACCGCTTTCTGCTTCCCCGCGGTGGGGTGCAGTGTGCCCGGAGACTCCTCTGTTCCTCCCCAGGGGACCGGGCGCTCCTTAGCCTCCGGGAGGCCGCTTGGCTCTGGGGGGATGGCCGGTGCCCTGGCCTCTCCTCGGGCACGGGAGGCAGAGGGGGGGCGCCGGCTCTCTCTGCTGCGGCTGCTGCTGCTGCTACTGCTTGTAGCTGCTACAGCCGCGGCTTCAGTCCCGGGGCTAGGCGAGAGGGACCTCTGGGCTCCCCGGGAGGCCGGGCTGTCTGTGGTCAGAGCCTCCCACTGGCTCCGCCCGGCCCTCCCCACTGCCGTCCTCCCACCCCACCCCCCTCAAAATAAAAAGTTCGTGCCCCAAACAGCGGTGGGGTCTAGCTGGGGAGACGCACCTCAGCCCAAGGAGGATTGTGCGCGAGCAATTCGCTCTGGGGGAGACAGAAGGTAAAACGTCACGTGGGAGATCAGCTGTAATCGGCTTTGAGACCAATTTAAAGAGCAAAGTCGGCGGGGCTGCGAAGCCCTCGCTCTGTCCAGTGCAGTCCAGTCCCCTCCTCTCTCTCGGACTGCGCTGGCGCTGCCTCTGCTCAGGGTTTATCCTCCTGCCTGCTCATCAGGAAGGGGGAGAATTAAAGGAAAGCGCGCGCGATCACACACACACACACACACACACACACACACGCGCGCGCGGGTGCGTTTCCATAGCAGTGGGGTGGAGTCACTTCTCCCCAAAATATTGTATATAATTTGCATAAAGTGAAAGTCCCCCTCCTCCTTTCTTTCCTTTTGTTACCTGTATTTTAACTAGCATGACAGAGGTGAACATGTTCAAGCAGCAAGCACTTAGGTGGTTATTATTTATTTCGTCAGACTTCGATTCATGAGATTTTAAAAGTATGCTGAGTTTAGGAATTAGAAAATCCTTTGAATATCTCTAATGTCCAAATTTTCCCACATCTATAGAATATGATGAGTTTATAGACTGCTTTCCCTAATAATCTCCCTAGAAGCCACCCTAAGACATGTATGTACTGTTTTGCTCAGCTTGCTTTTATGTTACTATAACTCATTTGGCTGAGAAAGATTGTATGGGTGGCCAGATGGACAAGGGACCGACTGCTATAAAATCTAAGTGGGAAAATTGGTGGGGGGGGGAAGAGGAGAGAGAGAGAGAGAGAGAGAGAGAGAGAGAGAGAGAGAGAGAGAGAGAGAGAGAGAGAGAGAGAGAGAGAGAGAGAGAGAGAGAGAGAGAGAGAGAGAGAGAGAGAAGAGAGAGAGAGGAGAGAGAGAGAGAGAGAGAGAGAGCTGTTGAATAGCCACTGTCACTAGGATTTGATTCCATGATGTACACTGAAACATTTCTACTATGTCAGTTATCAGAAAAAAACAAAGCTTACCATGATATAAAATGTTAATTATTGATAAAAGGAAATAAAATGTCCTCCACCACCCCCACCCCCAATGAAATACAGTCATATGTCCTTACAGTTTTTATATTTACAGAATTCAGCAGCCTGGGATTTGTTCTCTCATTTCTATTGCTGCAGATTCTGTCACAGAATCTTGTAGCAGTCTTTTCTCCCAGTCCCTTGGAGTGGTTTGCCGTTTTACTTATAGAAGACTTTTATTTTATATCTAAATGTTTTAAAAACACATCATACTGGGGAAATTATTTTGAAATGACAGTGTAAGAGCAAAGGCAACCACTCCTCTTCAATTTCACCACCAATATCTGTTAGTCAGCCAAAGAAGACATCCTACTGTCGGCTTTTAGCTACCTCGGGAAGAAAGCTTAGACATTTCAGTTAAGGCAAGACAGGTACACACAAATAAGTCTGTGCGAAGAGAAGCTCAACCTGCTCTAGATGAAGGGAGGACCATACCAATGACATTATAGATCTGTCTAAGTATTTAAATTAGTCATGTTGATTAAATGGCAAACTCCTTTCCCTGAAATATATGTGTACATATATATATATATATATATATATATAATGTATGTACATACACACACACACACACACACACACATATATATATATATTCTGTACCCCCTACCCCTTACTTAACACATTTAATTCCCAGTAAATATCAGTAAAGGTGGTGGAAGATATCCATCAGATGGGGAAAACTGACCAGTATGTAAATTCAATACCTCTTTTTAATGTGTTTGTAACTTTGAATAAATTTCTGTAATGAGAATGAAAATAAGATTCTAATCACTTTTATTCATTAGAAACTGAGTCTATGTAATACCAATATGATTTTTTTTGTTGTTGTTTAGGCTAATTTCGGTTATAAGCAATTGCTCCTTCTAATACATAAATTTCCTAACATAATGTCAATAGAGTGTTATTCTTCTTGCCTGGTAACATTCTGGTTTTACTACCTTATAGGACTGTAGTATGTTTCTGTAATGCTAAGTACTATATGTGATACATTTTGCTGAAATAGTTGATAAAGGACTTTCAATGGCCAGGGTGCCAGATTTAGAATCAGAGAATTTCATTTCAAATTCTAGCTATGCCATTTAACATCTATGTGACCTTGGGCTAATGACTTCTCTTCCCTAGCACTCATTTTCCTTATCTGTAGAATGAGTAGGAAATAAAGATTAACACTGAGATTCCCTCCAGTTCTACATATATGATTCTTGTTTAGTCTTCAATGTGAATGGTCACCATTTTGGATAAAGAGTGCTTAGAAAATTGTTTCATTGCTATGCATTTATTTTGGTAGATTATAGGCAATGTTCAGGTAGGGTTGATAAATGCTTTATGGATAAATGAGTTAATCTTTAGCTACTGGAGAGTGGGAAAGATAGGACTACAGATAAGTAACTATGAGATATTCTGACTGCAGCTGAAAGATAGGCACAAATGAGCAGAGACTCAGACAATGGCCTATGGAAGGAGAAAATCGGAATTTCGCAGTAAACATAGACTCATGGAGCTGGAACTTTAGATCATCTAGTCCCAATCCTTCATTTGTTATAGGAGAGGAAAAGGGGTCTCAGGGAGGAAAGGTGACTTGCCTAAAGTCACTCAGTTGTCAGTGGCAGAGCCAGGACTATATAGCCTCTCAGGAATGATCGCTTACAGGGTGCTAGTCTTTTCTGGACTCATTTGTTCATGTGGCAGACAGGATCACTGGGACTATTATTTTTCAACAAAAGAGACAGTGATATTTTGTGAGTTATGTTTTTATTCTGATTGAGGAGATTGGAGTTAGAAGACCTGGGATATACTAATTATGTGAACTTGGGGGGCTGACTTTTCCTATCTAGATTTCAGGATCCTCAACTGGAAAATGAAGGGGTTGGACCAGAAGACCTCCCAGGGCCCTTCTAGCTCTAATAGTTCATAAAACCTACCATCATTGAGTAGGGACATACTGCCCTCCATATTTACTACTCTCTTCTCATTTTCATGTATTCTGAGGGCAAAGTATATAAATTAGTTTGTTCAGCTCTAGAGGCAGGGATACATTGTCTTTGAAGCCATGAGCCTATGGTCTAATAATTAGAAAACCCCAAAACTAAAATGTATGTGATGCCAAGGTTTGCAAAACAGTATATGTGCATGTATGTGTATGTATATATATGTGTGTGTACGCATGTATGTATGTATGTATAAAATCTTATCTCATCTTCACATCCCTGTGAGGTAAGTTTTATGATTATCCTCATTTTACAGATGAGGAAACTGAGGGAAACAAGGTTAACTGACTTGCCTAGAGTTACAGCCACTAAGTATCTGTGGGATGATTTGAACTCAGTTCCTCCTAATTCTATGACCAGTACTCTATCTACCACACTATCTATCTCTTCTTTCTGTACTTTTTTAGTTAAGGAAAGAAGAAAGTGATGCCTGGGAGCTCTGAAAGTTGATTCATAATCTCTGGATTATGTATAATCTATTTCACAGAGGCAGGTTCATTATGTCTGCATTAGCAAGATAAAAGAGAAACTATCTAGATAATGTGGCACAAAAAGAGGATTTTCTTTGAAAAAGCCTGGTAATTAGCAAGGGTACATTTTTCTACAAGGGGAAACAAGAATAGTTAACATTTATATTACACTTTAAGGTCTGCAAAGTGATCTGCATATGTTATTTCATTTGGCACTTACAACAATCTTGTGAGGTATCGTATTATCCGCATTTTATAGATGAGGAAAGTAAGACTGAAAAAAGTTTATATGACTTACCCATGGACACACATCTAGACGGTAGTGTCGTGACCCTGGGCAAGTCACATGACCTTGCTTGCTTCAGTTTCCTTATCTGTAAAATGAGCTGGAGAAGGAAATGCAAACCAATCCGGCTAAGAAAACCCCAAGTGGGGTCACAGAGAGTCAGACGTGACTGAGCAGTAACAAATTAAGGTTTGCAAAGTTATTTTACATGTTACTTCTTTTGGCACTCACAATAATCTTGTGAGGTATGTTATTATACCTATTTTATAGATAAGGAAACAAAGGCTGAAAGAGTTTATATGACTTGCCCAGGAACACACATCTAAGTCATCCTGACTCCATATCTAGCACTATGACTCCTAGCACTTAATCCCAGGGTTTGTATCTGATTGCTTGATAATTTTGTCACTCTTATCCCTGTTCATAGAATTCCTTCACCCTGGTAATACTGGCTCAGCTTTTTGAAGTCCTACCATCCACCCTCTTGAATTGGTGAGGTAGCCCATCTTAAATGCTGCCGCTTCCACGAAGCCTTCCCTAATCCCCCGTGTTGTTTCATTTTTAAAACAAAATTGAAGCTCTTTCCCCTTAAACTTCATATCACAATGTTTAATGTAATTAAAGTTCTCTGTGTTGGTGCTATAATGTTACTGCTTAAAAGTTGAGTCAGATGACGGGCAAGGAGCACTTCTTATCTAGACTCATCTCTTCCAGTACTTAACACAACTTCCGTCATACAGTTGTCACCTAATAACCACTTGA